AAAACAAATGAGAAGCATTAGGCAAGAAAATGAAATAAAACACATTCAAATTGGAAAGGAAGAAGTAAAACTATCTCTATTTGCAGAGGACAGTATCTTACTTATAGAAAATCCTAAGGAATCCACTAAAATAACTATCAGAACTAATAAATGAGTTCGGTAAGGTTGAAGCATATAAGATCAATATACAATAAATGATTGTATTCCTATACACTTGCAATGAACAATCTGAAAATGAAGTTAAGAAAACAATTCCAAGCCAGGCATATTGCCACTCACCTGTACTCCCAGTTACTCCTGAGGCTGAGGTTGGAGGATTGCTTGAGCCCAGGAGTTTGAGGTCAGCCTGGGTAACAGAGAAGAAAAAAAAAATTTTTTTAATTCTACTTACAATAGCATCAGAAAGAATAAAATACTTAGTAATAAATTTAACAAAAGAAGTGCAAAACTTATTTTTTATTAGTTGATTACACATTTTGGAATCACATACTGATCCCTTAGATTTTAAAAGCCAATTCTCCTAAAATACTTAAGCCAAATATACACAAGTTTGTAAACCCAGAATATTATTGTTGCAGCCTTGATTCTCTTAAATTCCATGCTTGCTTCTAAATTGTCCTGGGGTTGAAATATCCTGACACTAAGGATACAATCTTATTCTATAGAGTTCTGGGGATTCATTTCTCATATAATTTTGGAGACTTGCCATCACAGCTTGCTGGGCTCTTAAGAAATGCAAAACTTACACTCTAAAAATGACAAAACATTGCTGAGAGAAGTTTTAAAAGAGCTAAATAAATAGAAAAACATCCCATGTTAATGAATCAGAAGATGTAATATTGTTACAATAGCCCTAATTCCCAAACTGATCTATAGATTCAACATAATCCCCATCAAAATTCCAGCTGACTTCTTTGCAGAAATTGACATGATCCTAAAATTCATATGGAAATTCAAGGGACATGGAATAACCAATCTGGAAAAAGAACAAAATTGGAAGACTCATATTTCCCAATTTCAAATCTTACTACAAAACTACAGTAATCAAAAGTGTGGTACTGGCATAAGGATAAACATATGGATGCATGGAAAAGAACTGAAAGTCCAGATATGAACCCTCACATTTAGGTCAATTTATTTTTCATGGAGTGTGAAGACAATTCAACGAGGAAAAAATAGTCTTTTCAACAAATGGTGCTGGGACAATTGTATATCCATATGCACAAGAATGAAGTTGGACCCCTTTCTCACACTATATACAAAAATTAACTCAAAAATGGATCAGAGACCTGAATGTAAAAGCTAAAACTATAAAACTCTTAGAAGAAAACATAGGTGTAAATCTTCATGATCTCCAATTAAGCAATGATTTCTTACATATGATACCAAAAGCATAAGCAACAAAAGAAAATATTTATAAACTAGACTTCACCAAAATTAAAAACTTGTGTGCTTCAAAGATGCCATCAAAAATGTAAAAAGATGCCGGGTGAGATGGCTCATGCCCATAATCCTAGCCCTCTGGGAGGCCAAGGCGGGAGGATCGCTTGAGCTCAGGAGTTCAAGACCAACCTGAGCAAGAGCGAGACCCCTCTCTACTAAAAATAGAAAAAATTAGCTGGGCGTGGTGGCACGCACCTGTAGTCCCAGCTATTCGAGAGGCTGAGACAGGAGGATCACTTGAGTGATCCTTGAGTTTAAGGTTGCCAAGGCACTCGCCCAGGCAACAGAGTGAGACTTTGTCTCAAAAAAAAAAAAAAAAAATGCAAACAACTCAAAAGCATGGAAGAAAATACTTGCAAATCATTTATCTGAACATATATCTAGAATATATAAAGAACTCTTACAACTCAACAATAAAAAGACAAATAACCCAACTTAAAAATGGGCTAAAGACCTGAACAGACACTCCAAAAAAGATAAATAAATGACCAACAAACACATGGAAAGATGCTCAACATCATTAGCCATCAAGGAATTGCAAATAAATACCGCTTCATACCTATCGGGATGACTATAATCAAAAAGACACATAACAAGTGTTGCTGAGGCAGTAGAGAAATTGGAACCTTCATACACTGCTGGTAGGAATTAAAATGGAGCAGCCATTGTGAAAAACAGTTTGGCAGTTTCTCAAAAGGTTAAACATAGAGTTACCATTCCTAAGAGAACTGAAAACATATTCACACAAAACTTATACAGGAAAGTCCATAACAGCATTATTCATAATAGCCAAAAAGTGGAAATAACCCAAATGTCCAGCAATGATAAGTGGATAAACAAAATGTAATAAATACATATAATGGAATATTATTCGGCCATAAAAATAAATGAAGTATTGATACATGCCACATGGATAAACCTTTAAAACATTATACTAAGTGACAGAAGGCAGTCACAAACGACCACGTATTGTATGATCCATTTATATGAAATGTCCAAAATAGACAAATCTAGCAAGACAGAACGTAGAAAGTATGTATAACCCCTTTAAATTAAACTATTTTTTAAATGACTGTTGTTCATGTATTTATATGCTATGTTTTTCTAAATAACATTCTTCTTCTAAAATATTTTTAAAAGCGCCTGCAAGCACAAAAGCATGTTATGGGTAAAGAAGGACAGACCTGGAATTTTAAAACAGCTAAAGAAGGAAAACTCAGATAAACCTCAAAGGCAGAAAACTGATTTGTCACTGTTGAATGCTACCAACGACCAAAATTACCTTCAAACTAAATTTTGGTCTTCTTTTGAACTGGAAATTACTATGAACAAACTTAAATTTGAAAATTATATGTATATTTTATAAAAAAATCATAAACGTAAAGCTGAAACTCATTAGACTTTACATCACAGTAAGTAATTTTAACCTAAAAGGAACAAATACTTAAAATATTTCTTGGGATAGTAGAAATAATATTACTTTGGAGTCAGATACACGGTTTTGAATCTTAGCCTATTTACCTGCTAGGTGATCACCAACAACTTACTTGGTCTCTGTGGGCCTCAGTCTCCCCTTCTATTAAATTAGGAATTACAATACGTACTTTAGTTCTAAAAGAAATATTCCAACTATTTACTAAATAAGAGGAGGGGTTGGATAATTTCACTGTTTTTTTTAAAATATGTACTGTTCGAATTTTTTTTACAACTTGTATGCTTGTATGTAATTAAAAAACATAATGAAGATTTTAAAAATAAAAACATCTATTTTATAAGGTTCTCGTGAAGCCAATTTGTAAGACATCTACACACAGGAGACTCAATAAAAAATAATTTCCACAGCTCTATTCCTCACTCCTTTCAAAGGTTCTTGAATTCCACTTTCTTGAATTCAGGTGAACAAAGAGCATAGAAGAGGCAAAGTTAAACATTTATTGTTCCAAACGAAGGCCTTGGTTGTCAAGAAAGAGACAAACAAGGACAATAGAATTGAGCTTTTAAACCACTTTCCTCAAAACATACCACAGAATTTAATCTGAAGAGACAAAATTTCCATAAGTTTACTGATGCTAATCACATTATTCTGTAACTTCAGGTTTTGAGGAGGGTGGGGCTTGCAATGTAAAAAGGTTAAATGATAATACTACCAAGTGAAAAGGAAATTTGATACCTTAATCTTTTGACCATCAAGGCAAATTCTGGATTCGGGTCAGAGAATATTTTCCACTGAAAAACACAATACAAATATAATTAATGACTATGGTTTATTTAGCAAATAAGGTAAAATATAAGTTCCCTCTGTAAGGAAAGATCATTTTTGTTTTGAGAGTACGCTGAGATAGATGAATGTAATTTAATTGATCCAGGTGGGTAGTCACCTTATACTTTACAGAATATTTTGAGAATTAAGAACTTTCTCTTCCATATTCTAATAGATAAAGTGAACAAGTCAGGAAGCACAGCAGTTTTACAGGTCAAAAAGGCGCCATTTTAAAACCACCAAAGTACAGTGGGACCTCAACGCTGGTGGCATCTAGTGGCTTGGTTTAATGACAGTCATTAGACTTTTACAAGTACCTAATTTATCCACAGGAATGTGTAACTCTAGCATCTCCCATCAAGTATGTATAAATACATAACTTGACCCTCGTATAGCATAAAGTTTGTAAGACTAGATCATTTAACGAATACAAATATTTCTGAGAAAGAATTTCCTGGGGCCATTATTGCATTTCTACAGTTTCCTTCTCTTATTTTTAGACAGCTTTGGAACCTATTTCCGAAAAAGAAGAACCACAGTCAGGAAACTGTAAAGAGATATAACAATGATGTGCATAACTATTGTATCTCAGCATTGCTGACTAGATGACTGGGACAAAACTTGAAACTTTAGTGGTAAAAGCTAGTGGGTAATGTTACTCTCATCGGCCTCGAAGACAAGTGCCGAGCTTTCGGGAACAGTAAGAGATTCCCCAGCCCCCTGGCTTTGTTTCCAGTTTCTGCAGGCCACCTCGAAGTTCCACGCCGGATGTCACTAAACTCTCCTCAATCTCAGCGGATGAGGCCAAGCCCTGAGTCCGGCCTTCAACCTCTGCCGCCTGGCCTCGCCTTCCGGCCCACGTCCCGGCGCCCCGCGCAGCCCGGCCCCCGCCCGAAGCCAGGCCCGGGTGGGCCGCCCCCACCGCGCGCGCGCGGCCGGAAAGGAGGGGCGCCCATGACTCACTCGCCCAGGCTCGCGGCCAGACCGCCAGACCTCACCCTCGCCCAGCTCCCCGAGAGGCCCAGGCCCCCGCCCCAGGCGACCCGCGTCGCTCACAGACCTGAGAGCCCAGCAGAAGGCAGAGGGCGGCCTCCCAGCAGACCCGGCCGCCCGCAGCCCGCCCCTCCCTCCGGCCGCACGAGCATGCGCGCTGGGCCCGCCCGCGCCTGCGCGCCCCCGACGACCCGCCGGCACGCGCCGCAGCCACGGAGGCCGCGGCGGAGGCGGAGGCGGAGGCCGGGCGCCCTGGGCGGCGCGCGGCCCCCAAAGTCCGCCCTCCCCGTTAGGCGACGAGCGCCCGAGGGGAGGGGACAGCCAGGCAGGCAGGAAGCTGCGGCTTAAAAGGGCAGCCCGCGCTGGGCCCTTCCTCCCTCCGTCGCGGGGACTCCGAGCGCGCGTCTTCTGCGTCCCGCACGCACCTCGCCTCCGGCCGCCGCCATGTACCGCTACCTGGGCGAAGCGCTGCTGCTGTCCCGGGCCGGGCCGGCCGCCCTGGGCTTGGCGGCCGCCGACTCGGCCGCTCTGCTGGGCCGGGCCCGCGGGCAGCCCGCCGCCGCCCCGCAGCCGGGGCTCGCACCGGCCGCCCGGCGCCACTACAGCGATGCGGTGGCCGACCGCGAGGACGACCCTAACTTCTTCAAGATGGTGGAGGGCTTCTTCGACCGCGGCGCCAGCATCGTGGAGGACAAGTTGGTGGAGGACCTGAGGACCCGGGAGAGCGAGGAGCAGAAGCGGAACCGGGTGCGCGGCATCCTGCGGATCATCAAGCCCTGCAACCATGTGCTGAGCCTCTCCTTCCCCATCCGGCGCGACGACGGCTCCTGGGAGGTCATCGAGGGCTACCGGGCCCAGCACAGCCAGCACCGCACGCCCTGCAAGGGAGGTGAGCACCGGCGGCGCGTCCTGTCCGCCCTGCCCCAGGCCCTGCCCTTCCGCCGCCTCGGGTGTGGGGCCGCTGCTCAAGCCCGGCCCAGCTCCGGCTGGCGGTGTCCCCCTCCCACGCTCCCCGCCAGATCACCCCGCCTCGGGTGTGGCAGGCTCTGTGGACAGTGATTTTTTCCGCCTTAAAACCGCCCTGCAGTTGGCCTACCCCCTTCCCCGCGAACATCATCCTGGGCCTCTGCATGTGTTGATGTTGTATGCAGAGCGGACACTGCACGGGTCTCCTTTTGGTGCCAGTGTCTGTGTCCTGCCGAGATGCACTTCTAGGGTAGGCAATGACCGGCCCGTCTGATTCTGCCTTGCGAGTTTTCGTGGGCTTCTGTGACTCTCCCCCGAATGCAAACTATGGAATAAATTTTCTGGTTTTTTTTTACTCCTGTTACAACAGTGACAGATGATACAGGAGTAGAAAAAGTGACTTGCCTTCTGGGTTTGAAATTTAGGCAGTTTTATTACCCAAAGGAATTTACTAATTACACATTAATCTTTTAAATTAAGTTATTTTTCCATTCTGTTTTGTGCAAAAAACAAAAAAACACGAGCAGTGTAATATCTGACAAACACCCGGCGTCCTGACAGTAAATCCTAAGGGTGTAGGCTGTCGAAGGGCCTGCCAACCAATGGAATGAAATAGCCCCGGGGGTGTGTACTGGTCCTGGCTGGCACCAGATTTGAGCTTCGGGAAAGATAAAGTACTTAAGAAAGGAGTTGAATCAGGTACAGTTTGGTAGTCACCTCGTTATCCCTGTAGTTTAAATTTGTGAATGTCTGTAGATTTGGCTTCTGTAGTCAGATTGCTTTCTTCAAGCAAAGAAAAGCTGTTAATTTTTTCCCCCAATACATCTCACAGTACCTCTTTAAAGGTACTTAAAATAGAAAGGACAAAAGCATGTTTTTCTACTGTAAAACAAAAAAATTATGTAGAATAAAGGACCGAGGGAGGTGAGGAGTCTTGCTGGAGGTGGATTGGCTGATAAGAACAGAAGATGTTGGGCTAGACCCTTTGTCTCCCTAAACCCAGTCCTGGTCTTTTTCTATTATGCCAGCTGACTTCAAAGGATAATTTTTAGAATTCTCTCTAGATGAGAAAAACTTGAGCTCTGCTGGTGTTCCCCGCGGAACAAAGGTTGCTTCCAAGGGTTTAATGATTTACTAAATTTGCATTGACCCCACCCACTTCTTGGATTTACCTTTGGAGCTTAATTATCCTCTAGCTCTCTGGTTTCCCCTGGTAAAACCAGTGTTTGAATCGCTTTGACCTGTAATTTCCCTTCCAGCTCCAAAATCATATAAAATGTACACATGGTCAATCTCCAGCACTGCCTTCCTTCTTCCTACCGCTCCCTTATTCTTTAAACCAGGAATACAAGTTCAGACTCCCAAAATAAGCAAACAAGGATGTTGAAGTTTGAACAAGATGTTGTTGTAACAAATATAAAATTGCATTGTTTCCTTAAAATGGGCATCAAGTTTATTTTACTGTCTTGTTGGCAACATTTTCCAGTCCCTTAAAAAATATACAAATAAACCGATCTATTTGGTTTTCTACAGGATCTGATTTGGTCTCTTTAAAGTTCTTTATATTATTCTGTTCTTCAGATGCTCAGCTCTTTCCTATCTTTGTAAGTCACAGCTCCGCATACTCACTAGAGCAACTCAAGTTTACTATAGTCTGTCAGTCCTCTTTCTCTTGTTGCCACCGCAGTTTTAGTGCCAAAATACTGAACCTAGCAACAAATAGCATCAACCAAACCAAAGCACTGTTATTGTAGCACTTGCTTGTACTGGAGTGTAAGTTACAATTCTCTGTTCTGTTTATCCCATTTACCAGAAGACATGCTACTGAAAGCATTAACTCCCAGCATATAAACACAGAGAAACTGAATTGTAACTAGTAAACTGTAGCGAGCATTGCAAGATGATAAAACAAGAAAGAAAATTGGCCTCTGAGAAGTGATAAGTTTATTATGTTTAGGAATTTGAAAGGCTTTGTAGATTAGGGAGGACTATATAGCTGCGAAAGCCCTTAAAAATATTTTAGTGTGCTTAAGATAATAAACAGTATACTAAACAGATGATCAACATAATTCGGATACTGTAGATGTCCATGCTCTGCTTGCAAGACACCCCAAGATCTTCCTACCCATTTATCATCCTTGTCTGATTGCAGAGAATGTGCACCCTAAGAAGGACTTATTTTCAGTAGGCTTTTTTTTTCTGCACTTAAACATTTAAAGCTTTTTTAACTTACAAGGAAGTTATTAACCTTCTTGGTCCCGCTCTGGTCTTAGAAATACAGAATATATTAGGTGATTGAGATAAATTATGCCTTGGGTAATCCCTATGAACTTCTGAAGTCTTACCCTCTTAAATATGTTTTAGTACATTCTTTTCCCCCTACCCCACTAAACCGTTGCCTCTCACAGTTTTCTTTGCAAAAGAAACCTCATCTGCCCCCTCCATCCTTTTCCCAACCCTCAGCTTTCTATAGTCTAATCTTTGCGCAAAGGTGACCTTATACCTGAACTTTCTAAAATAAAATTCTCAAGGTTGAGGCAAAGCAACTATCTTGTTACAATCTGTGTGAGGGAAGCAGGTGGTTTTAAGACCTGCAGGTGGCTGATAGGTACTTTATTCAGAGTAAATATTTAATAATACATACTGTTTTTGTGCTTCACTTTTCCTGAATACCATATTTAACCAAGACCATTAGATTTGCCTTTGTTAAGAATTTGTAAGAGCATGCTATAGGGTCTGAAGGGAAGTTTAAGTGAGGCCTTAAAAATATTTCTAGCAAAGGGGAATAGTCTGAATAAGCAACTTATTTGAGAAGACTTGTCCAAAGGTTCTGGTGTGTTGGAAAATATTATCAGAGGTTGTTCCTATTAACTTTCTCCGAGTAAATTCTCATTATTTTATTGACCATGGTTCTGCCTGAGACCAGTCTACCTTTTTAGAAGGAAATTTTAGAAGTCAGTTCGGGGGTTGGGGAGAGGAAGATACAGATTGATGATAGCAATCCATTGATGTAGGAGTTAATTTCCTTTCTCTTCCAGCCTGCCCCCCACCCAGTTGTCACCTTTTTTTTTTTTTTTTTTGGAGACAAGGTCTCGCTCTGTTGCCTGGGCTAGACTACAGTTGCTTCATCATAGTTCACTGCAACCTCAAACTCCTGGACGCAAGTAGTCTTCCTGCTTCAGCTTCCCCAGACCAAATACCCATTTTTCCCCACCAAGTTTGCTATAGAATGAAGACCTATGATAATGGTGGACGTCTATACATCAGATTGTCATCCAGTCTTTCAGTTGTGTGGGTGAATCCATTTAGCACGTTTGCTTTGGCAGTAAAACCCCATGTGCAGGAAGACAACTGGGACTACAGGCATACTTCACCACACTCCAGCTAATTTTTCTATTTTTTGTAGAAAAGGGATCTCACTATGTTGCTCAGGCTGGTCTCGAACTCCTGGCCTCAAGTGATCCTTGTGCCTTGGCCTCCCAGAGTGCTAGGGTTGCCGGCGTGAGCTACCACTACACCAGACACCAGTTGTCTTGATATTAAAACTATTAAGGCAAAATTCCCTATCACTGATTCTGTCTTCTGTCATAGAATTTTCTAATTATCATCATTTAAATATAGTCGATGGGCTGTAAATGGAATTCTCTCATACACTGACCCTAAATCTTTAATTACAAATATTAGTACCCAAAAAATGTACCCTGTGTTAACTCAGTGACTTGTTTTTAAGAGCAAAAATGGCAATAAGTAACAATAGGAGGTAGATGGCCTTTGTTTTTGTATTTTGGTGACGTGATGCTAGGGAAGACTGGAATCAATGTAGTGTGAAAGTCCCCCTCAGCCTCTGGGATGTCACCGTTTGGTGGGTGAATGGTAGTGCTTAAGGGAAGTCTACAGAAAGTACTAATACTGTTTTAAAGTGAGACATCTGCCTTCACTGAAAAAAAAATGTTTCTGACTTATTTCTGCTATGCTAAGTGGACAACCCTCAAAACATGTGTGACTTTGAATAAACTCACACTTTCTAATATTTTTTAAGGACTGTGTATCTGCATCTGCTGCCACAAGATAAAATAGAGCCTTTGTAGGTAAATTTAATTTAGGAGTTAACCTTTCTGAAAGTTCAGTTAGATTAAAAGTCCGTAGCCCTGAGGTTGTTGATTTTAATACATTTTAGTTAAATACGGAATGGTGTTGACATTATAAAGCCTTTTTTATTTCATGGAAGCCATGGATGCCCCTTTTTCCCCACCAGATTTGCTATAGAGTGAAGACCTATGATGGTGGTGGAGGTCTATACATCAGATTGTCATTCAGTCTTTCAGTTGTGCAGGTGAATCCATTTAGCAAGTTTGCTTTGGCAGTAAAACCTCATATGCAGGAAGACAGACAACTGCTTGCTCATGCAAAGTATACTTTGTAAGAATTGAGGCATCAGCACCAGTAACATATACTGCTCCTGATTCCTCAGTTGGAGGATAAACACCAGTATATATATTAAAATCCAGTAAAGCTGATAGTCTTTACATTTCAAGTACAAGAAATAAAAATTGAGCTTGAACTTTCTGGTGCATACAGTGGGAAGAAATTGGGTTTACCACTTTTGCTATTAATTTAGAATGCTTAAGAAAATCGGGTTTTATCCACTTATGTTAAAGATACTGAGAGTTCTGCCTCTAACCAATAAAGACTAAAATATTAACCTGTGGATGTTAAAAGAAATCCTAGGCACTAGTCTCTGACATGTGACTTCTGGGTTTTGTTTGTGTTTGGCTTTTTTGTCTGTTTGTTTTTTCTTATTTGCCCAATAATTAGGTTTTTACAATCCAAGTAATAAAGAGAAAAAATCCCTAATATCACTTAAATAATTCCTGGGCTCAACAAATTCATTAAAGTACATATATGTGATTCAAATATTTAAAT